CCGCGCTGTGCTGTCGGGCCAGATGAGGGCGCTCCCGGGTGCCACGCCGTGCTGCCAGGGGCGCCCCAATGGCGCTGCGCCATACTGCCAGGCTGGGCGGGGGCGCTCCCGGGTGCCGCACCGTGCTGCTGGGCCACGCTGTGCTACTGGGCTGGGTGGGGCCCAGGGTGCAAAAATGGCTCGGGCTACTAGGCCCGAGACATTAGGGTGTGCCTGGGCACACCCAGCACACTCCGTGCGCACGCCTATGAAAGTGGTATATATGAAGTAGTGTCTTGTAGGGGGGGGGAGGGGGACACGACACAATCTTTGGCCATCCAGGGGGCAGTGGGAGTTGAGCTGAGGCCACTATTATGGGTACATAAATGTAGTGATTCAGTAGGGTCTACTGACCACTATTACTGTACTTTGCTTAACAATAAACTTGGCCAGGCACCTTCAATCCTTATTTGATTTGTGCTCTTTGAAGGCTCTCTTGGGGTCTGTGGTGGTGACTAATTGTGTAAATCAACATGGCACACATTACTGAGCACACACGCAAGCAGCCTTCGGTTATCATTGATGGAGCAGGAACCCATCGGGACGACCCCAACTAACTGACAACTAAAATTAATTAGAAACTGTTAAGACATTAGCTGCTAATTATCAAGTGTGAGCAGAGTATACAAATACTCATTACTCGATGCTGCCCTTTTGAGATGTTACATTTAAGCTTAACAATCTTGTTAATGGTATAAATCTGTAAGTTGCCCACAATACTTGTTTCCCTCAGAGCACATCTATACCAAAGTATTCATCAAGGTGTTGGAGAGCCCTCTCAAACCGGAAACATACTGGAAGCAGCAGCATCTTCCACCGGTTCCCGTAATTTGTTCCAGAACCTATTCTTGAAAAATCACCACCTTCAGCCATACATCAGCCTTGGAGACCCCCAACAAACTCCTACCACTGAAAACCCCTCAATGGCATGTTAATCAAAACAAGCATAATTTTCAGTCCCTGATAAAAGCTGATCATAGTTCTGCAATTTGCTATCAACTAGCTCTTTGTTGACCCTTCTGCTTTACAGGACAGAAGAGTTCCTTTGTAAGGGTGGGAGCGAGACACTTTCCAGGTTGCATGTATCTCTTTTGTGACCTTCTCAGACACAAAATGTAGAAAAAGCTCAAGTTGGCCAGTACTTTCCACTTCAAAACCTCCTGAATTTACTTAAAATCAATAGTCTTGCTTTCTTACACAACAAATCTTAACTTTGTCCACATTTAAAAAAGCGGATTTTTCCTAACTAGCATATAGGTTCTAATGCCCAGTTCATTCATTTATACAGGCAGTCCCCGACTTACGCGGATCCGACTTATGTCGGATCCGCACTTATGAACGAGGCTTGTTTCGCCCCGGAGCTCACGGGCGGCGGGTCGCCACCCGTGTCCTCCGGGGCGAGAAAAGCTTCTCCCGGTCTCCCTGGTCTGCTGGGGGGTTCAGCAAAGCTGCTGGATTCCCCCAGCAAACCAGGGACACCCGAGCAAAGCCGCCGCCTGGGTGGCTTTACGAGCCA